AAAACACTTTGAAAAACTTGAAAAACTGTCGTCAGATTTTACTTAGAACTTCTCTTTCTGCTATCATGTCTGTCTCCATGGAGGTAGATAAGCTTAATGCCATACTGTGGAACATTTCAGGCACTTACACAATGCACCCTTAAAACTCATCACGGTCAATTTTGTGTAATATAGGAACTTTAATGAATCCATGACCATGTATCATTCGTTCATTTGCTTTTCAAAATAAAAACAAAAATAAGAAAATGAAAAAACAGTTTTCTTCATTATTTGTCAAAATGAAAAAACAGATAACGGTCGTATCTTGTTTCTGTGACTTAAACTGCACCGCATACGGACTGATTCCAGGACTGAACCAGGACTGAACCAGGATTAAACCAGGACTGAACCAGGATTAAACCAGGTGTGCCCACATAGGCTGTCGAGTGATGAGGACTGAGACCAGGACCAAACCGGGACCAGATCAGGACTGAGACCAGGACTGTGGCCAGGACTAGGACTCAGACCAGGACTGAGACCGGGACCAGACCGGGACTGAGCCCTGGACTGAGACCGGTTTAGTCCTGGTTTGGTCTTGTTTTAGTCCTGTTTCAGTCCTGGTTTAGCCCTGGTTTAGTCCTGGTTCAGTTTGACATCGCATTTTAAGTCACGGAAACGGGAAACGTCCGTTATTCTTTTTTTCCATTATTAATTTCAACACAAAATCTAAAACTGAAAAAAAAAAAAAGTTTGTTTTCTTATTTTTGGATTTATTTTGAAAAACAAATGACGAATAATACATGGATTTTAATGTCATACTCTGTGACATTCTACAGCTGGCGGACCTTCCATCACACATACAGAGAGCAATTTTCTCTTTTTTTCCCCTCTTCTCTCATTTTTTGATGTATAGAATTGAATGTTGCTCATTTATAACACTATCTGAGCCTTCTGTCTCCACTCTTGTCCATTTTTTATTTTTTTTTGTGCCAATGCAGCAGCTCATTGTTGTGCTAATCTCATCGCAGAGCGCACAGAGGCAGAGGATGGAGGTCACCGTGTCCTGGAAGCAAATTAACCCTTTTCTCACTTACCCATGATGCAATAGTGAAACCAGATTGAGTCGTTAAAGCAGGAGTGTCAAACTCATTTTGGTCCGGGGGCCGTATCCAACCGACTTTGATCCCAAAGGGGCCGGATCAGAAAACTCATGTCATATAAACCCCAAAAATAACAATAAGTTCAAATATTTGTGCAGAGAAACGCAAATCTATTACAGAAATCTTTTTTAATTAATGAACTCTTTCTTTTACAAAATATTATAATATTATGAACAACCTGAAACTTTAAGAAAAATGTAATTTCAACACAATGTTTTAACATGAACTTGTATGTAAACGGGAATAAGTCCGTTTTTGTTGTAAAATCCTGCACTCGGCTCCACTTTTCTCATGTTGGACATTTTTCTGATGAGGGTGTCACGGTCAACAGTCAAAACGATCGTCCTTTAAGAGCGTTTGGAAAGAGACAAGTCTTCATTTGTGCTGCTCTGGTGGGAGGGGCCACGTACAGAGACGTTGCTGTAATAAACACCACAGAAAATTAACAAGATTTTAATAAAAAATATAATTAAAATATTTGAGTAGAAAATCAGCCAAGGGCCAGATTAAAGGTCTTGGAGGGCCGGATCTGGCCCCCGGGCCGCATGTTTGACACCTGTGCGTTAGCAGTGTTTATGTTACGAGCTGGTTCACGGGTCATCTCTTGGGACTGTCAGAGGTGTTGCTGCTTTGTCTAGAATGTTCCACGGTATATCTTAAACTTACCTATCACCAGGGAGACAAGCAGGTTACAGCAATGCGCATAATTACGGGCCAGATCTGTGGAGAGCCGCCCCGATTCGCAGAAGGAATGATTGTGTTTTTGAGCGATAGAAACACCCGTGATGAATAAACGCTAGATGGATATGTTTAATCCATCCAGGCAAAGCAGTAACATCTCCATGGAAACAAGCAGGGAGCGGACCCACCAGAAAAGTTGCGTAGTGCACCTTTAAGAAACAAAGTTGAGTTTTAATCAAATCTAAATCAAAAGTCTTGGTCTCTCAGGATGTTTATGGAGACAGTACAGGGTAGGATAAGTTTACAAAACATACTACTACTATACTACTACTATATACTTCTGTCATAGTGGCCTGTAGGGGGCGGTACTGTGTCTACAGCAAAGTATAAATATGTATTTAAAAACTGAGGTACCTGATTTTCAAACCACACTTTTTGGCATTATTATACTGATAAGAACAATTTGACTCTTCTTTGGTAGTTTACTTACATGTACATATATGTAAGAAAAAAATTACAGTTTTTTCATCTTGTAATGTTTATGTATAAATATAGTGTAAATGTTTACTAAATTTAAGGCAGTTTGTGTGTAAAATTTGTTTTTTAAAAATCTCAAAATCTAAATCATAGATGGAGCCAGATTTAAATGTCTTTTTCTTTCATTTTATTGTCATACATATTACTAAAACTATAATATCATAAAAATATAATAATAAAATATCTTATTTAGTATTTGAGCAAATTAGATCTCAATGAAAAAAATTAAAAATACAACATTAATAAATTAGAATTGGAACTAAATATCAACAACTCCTGTGTTTTGTCAAAATCTGATTAAAAACAAAATTTGAGTGATAAATGTAGGAGAAGGTGTGGACTTGTGGGCGACCAGACTCACATATTTTGGGACTACCCCAGTATAAAAGGTTTTTGGATTAATGTTAAAGATGTTCTACAAAATATATTGGCTGTGGACCTGTTGACGGACCCAAAGGTATTTCTGCTTGACATATTCCCTGACGGTCTCTCTCATGATCAGTGCTTTCTGCTGCATCTTCTTCTGTTGACTGCAAGAAAAATGATCACGATCTACTGGCTGAAAGCCTGAAATACCGACCGTTGAACAGTGGAGATCAAAAATCAGACAAGTTTATACAATGGAACTGTTAACGGCTCAACTACAGCTCAAGGTGGCAGCTTTTGAAAAGAAATGGAGCCCAATTACTGACTTTTTGAAATAAGACACGTATGCCCTAATATGCCTTATTTATTTATGTTTTTTTTTTTTTTTTTATTTGTTTTTGCAAATTTTTGTTTTTTTCCTCTCTTTCTTCTTCTAGAGGGGGGAGTGGGGAGAGAGAAAGGGCAAAAAAGTGAATATATAAACTGTGAGAAGGCCCGGTCTCAGGACAATGTTGATGTGATTTGATTTGTGGCAATAAAAGTTCAAAAAAACAAAAAAACAAAATTTGAAAGTTTGGTGCATGTAGGTGCTACTTCAAAGGTGCACTGTGTAACTTTTTGGTTGGGGGTCACCTGCTTGTTTATGAATATGACATTGTTCTGCCTGGAATGTTCCACAGTATGACATTACACAGCTCTACCTTACATTTATTCAATTACAGGTGGTTTTATAGCGCAAAAATACCTAGAAAAACTGACATTCTGACTGTACGCGTGGTCGCTTCTCCACAGATTTGACCTATAACTCGATCTGGTTTGGTCTCCATGAAGATAGAAAGGTTGAATACCATGCTGTGAAACATCCAGACAAAGCAATAACATCTCCAGGGAGCAAAGCATCAGATCAGATTTTCTTGGTAGAGTTGTTGTGTGCACTAGCCACTGTCGGCCACAAGGAGGCGACATAACACTGTATAAAAATGACAACCTCCCCTGTTCAACTGTTATAACAATGCATCACAATATTATACACACACTACTATGCACCCTTTAATGTTTACCCTTCATAGTCATACTCATCAAAACAAAAAACGTACTGCAAATACTTACTTATCATAATGTTCCACTAGGAGGCGCTGTAAGGTTACATAGAAATTCTGTATTCTTCTGTCAGTCCCTAAGCGTGGGATTCATCTGACCTTAAACAAAAATAATACAAGCTTTAGGCAATTCAAGTTCCACAGTATGACATTAAACAGATCTGTCGCCATGGAAACAAGCAGACGACGCCCCCCTAGGTCAAGCCACAGGTCAGATCAGTAACAAGTTATTTTTTGAGCAATTCCGAGGACTATTGAGTAAATGTATTAGATAAATTGAATGCCATACTGTGGAACATTCCGGAAAAAAGCCACAACAACTCCATGGCAAGTTAAGGCAAGTTTATTTGTACAGCACAGTTCGTACACAAAGTACTTTACAGAATAAGAAATACATGAAAATCACAATCAAAAACTAATCAAAATATAATCATCATAAAATTTAAGCTTAAAATTTCCAGTCTCCATGGAGAAAAAACAGAAAAGTTACATACTGGGGCTTTTACAGGTCCTATAGGCCATTGTTTACCAGACTGGGTTGCAAGAGATTTTTTTTTTGGGGGGGGGTCGCCTTGTCACGATCTGCAGATTCTGACACATGTTGAACTGTTAAGACATGTTTTGTATAATTTCGAATCTTTTTGTGATTATTTTATTGACTATTTTGTTCTAATATTCAACTGAATTTTGAAAAGAAAAAGAAATAGGCTACATTTAATGTCCAAATGGGCGACTTATGGATCCCTTTATTGCCGCTTTCAGTTTCTTTTATTGAGTAATACTGATTGTTCAGAGAGACACGATCACTCAGTCAACAGTAAAATATCCTCATGAATGTTCAATAATGCTCAAATCCACCTTTAATTTTGTGATTTATGAATAATGTTTATTGAATTGGGTTGCAAAGGTTTGTGATTTTTAAAATATGGTCCCCCAGAAAAAAAAAAAAAAAAAGTTTTGGGAAACACTATTGTGAGCTTTATCTATGTTATCTCCTCAAAAATGTACCTGAAATAGTGTTTTGTTTGATTCACACATGTTTAAATAGCTCTTTATTATTAGCCTATATACATAACCAAAGCTCAAAATGCTCCGTTCCACCTTGTGATGTCATGAAGTGGAAGTTTTTTTACAGCTACTTTTAACTTAGCTCAGTAGAGATTGACAGTTCCAGAATTTCCAGGTGTAGTGGACCAAACAGAAAGGCAAAGACAAGGGATAAAAATAAGTTTAAATTGATTAAAGTCAATAAAGGAGATAATTTAACAAAGGCTCAAATTAAATCATGAAAAAAAAAAACAAAAAAAAAGCCGGGCCCAACTAGGGTAACTTAAATCAAATCAAACAGAGCAAAACTAAACCAAACGAGACACAGAACGAGGGTGTTTAAATACCTAAGGACCAACTAAAACTGAACACAAGACGGAGGAATTACACTAAATAATTAACTAAACTACTAACTTAATCAAAGTAACAAGAAGGCAAATAATTATAATACAGAAATTCGGATTCATGGATGGTCAATTCCGAAGGTCCTCCATCCGGCACTCAAAAAAAAAAGAAAAAGGAACAAGTGTAAGTAAATAATTCAGACTTATATTAACTAAAACGTGTGCACCCAAATTAAAACATGAGGTTAGGTTAATTTATTCGTACACGTAGGTAAATTTGCTTTGTAGATTTGAGAGGCAGGTTCCACATTTCACATTTTATTCATCCACATAATGTGCAATAAACATGCATAAAAACACAATTACAACATAAAATTAAAATTACAGAGCTCCAGTGCAGAATAGTTTGTTCCATAAACAATCAGTTAAATTCATCCATCACACTTGTCTAAAATCAGAATGAATATTAAATATGTTAAAAACACACAATCTTTAGATAAATACGTCTAAATAAAGGAATTAAATTATGTGTAATGTAATTAACTTAATGTAAATGAAATGAAATGAAATAATACTGACATGGAGCGGTGGCAGAGGTGTATCAAATGTTGTATTTATTTATTTATTTAATAGTGACAGTGCATATTAATGAACATCTACAACACCGCAGTGTAAATATGACAGATTATAGCAAGAAGGCTCATTTCCATCTGTAGTCCCTCGGCAGGTAACACCGCAAACTTAACAGAAAAAACAGAAACAAGATATAGACTAAAAGTGTCCACAAGTCTGGTTTTCCTTTAGTAGGACTTGAAAGCGGCAAGTGTTGGAGTTTCTCTTACTGATAGTGACCGACAAAATTTTGTGACTCTGACTGAAATCATTCGAGTGACGGTGTATGAGGTTTAAAAACACAGTGGAGTACTTTTTGTATCGCCACGTGACGTCACAAGGTGGTTTTCCGTTTGAGAGAAGAACTCAGCTTAAACCAATGACCTTAAATGAAGAAAACATCATTACCCATTATACACATCAAAACGCAAAAACTGAAAAATGTATTCATCTATTTATTCTTCAAATACCACATGCACATAGCAAAATTCTCAAGAACAAAACCTTATTTTCCACTACTACTAATAGAAATAAATCACTCACTACTTATTCTAATTCATAGTTAGATAAATCTTCTCCTCATCCTGCAATTCAGTCGCTGATGCCTCCTTCATTTCAGTTACTTTCTCTTATTTGGTTCGATTTACTGTCATATGTTAAGTTATGTTTACATTCTTTCTATTTTTTTTTGTTTGTTTTCAATGAATTTTAATGTATATTACTATATATATGTATGATAATTAAAAAAAAATATATATATGCACGATTTATCTCCACGTGAATGTAACAAAAACCCAACTCCAAGTATGTTTTTGATGAGAAAACATTAGAATATTGATCAGAAAATAAGGTAATGTGCCCCTTTAATGTTGTGTGCAATGATTTTAGAACAAAAATCGAATCGTCAGCAGCTCAGGAGTCAAACCAACAAAATGTGACAGCTTGAATTTACGCCACACTTCTCTAATTGGCAAATCCTGTCCAAAAAAAAAAAACAAAAAACCGCGCCCCTCCTCTGCGAACCCGGATGTGGAGTCCGTACACCTCTGCGCTCAATGGGCTCGTTCATCTTGAAGAACTACATTTCCATGACGAGAGAGCGAACGAACCAACGAGCCAACGAACGAGTGAACGAGCGTACCTCTGGGTAAAAAAAAAAAAAAAAAAAAAAAAAAACAAGGTGGGGCTTCTTACGCACGACGTGAGAGTTGCCCGGGCATCAGCTGAAGTGGATCGTGCTCCAAAACGGCAGGTGGTCAGCGCGCTACAGCTGCTCAGTGGAACTATGACAACCGCGGGCTCCTACAGGTGACATGGACGGCGTGAAATGAACTAGTTTACGCACTTTTCCTTTTTTTTTTGACTCCCCAGAAGACGCAGGAGTAGAGACTAAAACGAGGAGATAAAGATTGTGCACGTATAGGCGCGTCTCGGCGTGCGTAAAGACTCAAATCGACACCAGAATATTTTATTTCTTTTTCCCCGCTGAAGTTTGGTAATTCGTGACTGGATACAAAAATGGCACTTTCGAGGTTCCATAATATATTTCGTCTGCCCACTACGATGAAGAAGAAGGCGAAGCAGTACGAACACGTGCACAGGGACATCAACCCGAACGACCAGTGGGACATCGTGGGGGAACTGGGTGACGGTGCGTTCGGTAAAGTCTACAAGGTGAGTGTGCGTGTGGAAGCGACACGAGGGAGGTTTATTTACGCGCGATTAAAGGTTCGATAATTGCACTAAATGAGCCCTCGTGAGGTTTAAGCCACGCTAGAACCTTACCTCATCGAAAACATACCTGGAATTGCGTTGTTTGTTTCATTCACGCGTTTGAGTAACCCGTTATTATTATCTGGCTACGTCTCCAAACCTCAAAATGCACACTTCCACCTTGTGATGTCACGTTTTCGACGTTTCAAAGTCAACAGCAACCTTTTACCTTTTCATTTACTTGAGATTGGCAATTCCGTGTCAGAAATGATCCAAATAAAGTGAAGCTGCGTGGAGTTTAAGGCACAAGAAAGCACCACATGACTGTATTGCATGACATCACAAGGTGCAACAGAGCCTAAATATGCAGGATTTGTGTGTTCAATATGTGTAGATGAAACAAAACACAACTCCAGGCCTGTTTTTGACAAGGAAACATTATAAAACTGATCGGAAAATCGTGCAACATGGGCCCTTTAATGCCAAAAAGTGAAAGTGCAGTCGGATTTGTCCTGACTTGTTGTGTCTGCCTATAAAACATTTGAGTCACAAGTTCTTGATTTAGTGCTGCAAGTGCTGCTTGGTATGAAGTTGAAATGCGGTAAAGAAGAGCCGTGACGTCAACATTGTTTTAATTCTTCTTATTGTGTGGCATTTAAGACATGACCAAGTTATGCTTACGCTCCACCACAAGATCTGCTGAATTAGATCTGTTGATTAGATTAGAATAAGAACAAAAGCAGCTGACTAAAAGCGAGACAACTTTTGGCACAGTGGGTGCTTCGGATAAATGTGGACTTCCATTGAAACGTTACTGGTTTCCTTTGAATGTTCCACAGTATGGTTTAAATGGACCTATCTTTAGGGATGTAACAATAACCAAAAAAACCAAAATATCGTGATATTGTATCATCAAAAGTCTCTCAGTAATACCGTGGCCCATCACAATATATCGAATTACAATTTCCTTTGCTTAAATACATTTTTTATAGTTGCAACAGCTAATAAACATTGGGAACTACATATCCCAAGATTCATTTCAGCAGAGAAAACATGAAGAAATGGGTTTTTTACTTGAATTCTTGAGATTATGACGGAAATAATTTACACCAAAATCTTGTCAGGGTATTTTAAAAGTAAAAAAGTGAACAAAAAAAAAATCTACAATTTTATATCAGCTTCTCCAAAATATCCCAGTAAATACCATACTGTGAGAGATGTATATCGTTACATCCCTATCTATCTGCTGGATTTATACTGTGAGCGGGCTTGCCTCTCCACAGGTCTGAACAGTAACTCGGCTTGCGTCACCTGTTTGTCACTTGTATGAGAGATAGATAAGGTTAATGCCATGTTTTGGAACACTGCAGTCGAACTTCTCCACAGGGACGGACCGTTCACACGAAATTACAATCACAAGGGATGTAACGATGTCCAAATCTCTCATGATGATATTATATATGCAGTAGTTTGGAAAGGCTGATATAAATGTAAATAAGATACTTATAAAATACCCTGACAAGATTTTGATGTGAATTATTTCCATCATAATACCAAGAATTCAAGTAAAAAACATATCTTTTTATGTTGTCTGCACTCAAATGAATCATGGGATATGTAGTTCACAATGTTTATAAGCTGTTGCTACTGTAAAGCCATGAATTTAAGCAAAGAAACGTGTAATTTGATATATTGTGACAGCCCACGATATTATTGTGAGACTTTTGATAATATGATATCACGATATATTGCTTAGAGTATTTTTTGGTATATTTTACTAAATTATTTTGTTACAGTACTACAGTTTTGTTGCTTGTATAAAGGAAGGAAACTCGTTTATGCGACATATTTGACATTTTCAATGTTTTGACGATTAAAATGTTTGTGTTTCATATGAACTTTGCACAAGTAGTGGTTTAAAAAAGACTTTTGGTATCACAACTTTTATTTTTTATTGAATAGTATCGAATTTATTTGAAATATATTGTATCGAATCTAAAGCTCAGTGTATCGAAATATGTATCATATTGTGGCCTAAGTATCGTGATACTTCTTAATGATACCAGACCTAATGATGAAGTCTCCTGAAATGGTTTTCACTTCACAGCTGTGCCATGTCAAGGTCAAGAAATACCAAGAGTGCAAAGCGGTTTTCAAAGCAAATCGTGACTATTAAAAAAAAAAAAAAAAAATCAAAATCTTTGTTTGAGTTCTTTTTAAAGTTTGTTTTTCGCTCAGTCACTGTAGTGTAAAAAAAACCCTTTGATTTCCAGAGCTTAAACCATTATCCTTCTGTATTGTCACACCCGGATGACATTAACCGAGCGAATGTCCAAAGGTGAAGACCTGGCTATAACTTCTAATTCCACTGCTGTTATCTTCACACGTCTGTAGATGATTGGCCACACTTGAAGGGCGTGCGCTGCTCCAGTCTTCTGTCACCTCATCTTAAGTCTTCATTGTTGAGAGCGCGTGACTAACTTCGGAAATATGCGGTCCGTCCAGAGAGACAGATTTGTAAGTGGAGTCGTCGCCTGGAGATTGACAGCGGAGTTGGCCCACAGAAATGTATACCAGCGGGTTACTCTGCCCAAGCGTGAATGACATTTTCCAGATTGTCAAAATTAAGGAAACGACATAGACCGTATATACATAAATAGTCATCGTGTTGCAAATTTGAAGTGTGCATGGGCGCGCTTCTGGCTCCATCGACTCGACTTGGTATTGAAAAAAACATTGCCCTTCTCGTAAAATATTCGTTTTCACCCGCTCTACACGATCCTGGTGTTTTTTATTTCGCTAGTTTGTCCGTAAATCAGTTCCTAGTCCTAATGTAGAAGCTCTAAATTTGCCCCTTTATCTACAGGCCTCAGTGAGTTTCATTTGACCGGAGCTGAACTCTGTAGTTTACGTCACACTCCTTTAGTTTGCTTCTTATCAAAAGTGACATATCAAATCAACTAGACACCAGACTAGACCAACTATAACCACAAAAAATAATCTATAGTTGCATCTCCACAGATCTGATTTGTAACTTGAAGGAAACAATATTATATCGTAGTCAGAAAAAAACATAATATGGGCTCTTTAAAATATTATGCTGATGTTTTGTCACAAACGGATAACAGTATGAGCAAAAGTCCAAAGGTGAAGACTGAAATCCAGACTATAACCATAATACGCCAAAAAAAAAAAAAAAAGAAGCATAGTTGTCTCTCCACTAGGGATGGGCATGATTAGTCGATTAATCGATAATTGATCATTAAGAATTTCATCGATTACGTAAATTTTAATCGACAAACCGAATGCAGGTTGCTGTGCGTAGTGTGACTAAACAGGTGTGTACATGTGTCTCTGCACTCAAAAGGAGCGAGACACAAACAGTCAGTCAGTCAATCCGCCTGCAAGGTACCGAAGTGCATATGCGTATTTAACGATGACTTGTACAAGAAATTCCACGCTTTCCGTTGCGTTCGGGACAAGTGTGAGTCCATGTGCACAGTGCACAAAGCAGCACATATGTTTTGGTGTCCAGTGGGAAAACGCTTTACCAGGTGAGAGTCGCGCAATGTCAATGACGAGTCCCCACCTCCCTCCCCCCGTACGGTGTCCTGGGTTTGACAAACGCAAATATGGTCACACTAACCTGTATTCCACTGAGTCATGTCTTTTAATCCGACAAAAGTTGACCACATCAGCGACACAAGAGCTGTAGTTTTATCTTCGCTTAGTTTCTGCAAATTAGCGATGTGGTTTTAAGTTTTGTTTCTGTGAGAGTTGCGCAAAACTGAATTAAACACATTATAATGTCAAACGGGCTGATGTGGCTCTAGAGTCGTTACGGTTTATTTGTTCGTGAAGTTGAATTTATTTATGCAGATTAGGTAGTGCAGATAGTAATAATAATGATGATCATTTTAATATAAAAAACGTTAATGATTAATCGATGATAATCTCGACGATCGATTAATTCTCTCGACGATCGATGAAGAAAATTTCATCGAATGCCCATCCCTACTCTCCATAGATCTGACCTGTAACCTTGGAGGTGTCACTTTCTTTCTCATCTCCATGGAGATTGATAAGTTAAATGCCGTATTGTAGGGTTACCAGACGTCTTCTAAATTTCTAAATGAGCCCAAAATGTCCAGTATTTTGACTCTTTCAGAACTCTAAAATGCAATTCAGTTTTGAGGGACAGTAGCTCAGTTGGTCGATCTGAAGGTTGGCGGTTTGAATCCTGCTCTTGACATAAACATCATTGGTTGAGCCGTCAGATCCACTGACCCACAGGTTGGCTGGTGTGATTCCAGCTCCTACAGATGAATGCTGCCTGTTGTATCCTTGGGCAAGACACTTAAACTACCTCACCCTCAGCGTCTGTGTACACTGGTGTGTGAATGTGTGTGTGTGAATGGCTGAGTAGTTCCTTGTTGTAAAGTGCTTTAAGTGCCTTGAAGGTGGCAAAGCGTTCTATAAAAATGTGACCATTTACCAATAAGGGTGTGCAAAAATGTAAAAATATCGATATATCGTATCGTTTAATGTGATGATACAGTATCGATATTGTGGGCTGCTGTATCGATATATATCACCAAGAGTATTTTTTGGTATATTTTACTCAATTATTTTGATTCAGAGCTATAGTTTTGTTGCTTGATTATTTAAAGGGAACTTGTTTATGTGACACATTTGACATTTTCACTGTTTTGATGATTAAAATGTTTGTGTTTCATTTGAACTTCCTACAAGAAGTGGTTTAACAAAGACTTTTAGGATCACAGCCATGATTAAGCCTTTATTTTTTAATTAACCGTATCAAATTTATTTGAATTGATATTGTATTGAATCATATCGACAGCTCACTGTATCATTAAGAAGTTGCCAATGGGTCATTCCACGCCATTTCATCAAATTTCCAGAAAATCTCACGCACCATGTTTCTTAAAAATGTAGAAAAA